GGTGCTCTAAACTTACCACCTGTAAGTCTGGAAAATGGGTCTGTTAAATTTAAGATAAAATTACTTAAATTAGCTCCAATTTTAAATGCAACCATATACCTTTTCACATTGAAGACATTACACCGAGGGGACCTCAGAATACGTGCTTTCATAAAAATTTCAATTCACTATTTCTAAACCATTAGATTTCTTTAGGAAAAAAGCAAGACTGTTCATCAACTTGCCTGTGGGCTCACATTTATTTAAATAAATATTCCATTTAATTAATTGTTCAAAGAACTTTAGATAATATCCTCACCAAGGAAACCTGAGGCTTTCTCTTTCCTATTCCTGCCATTCAAATTCATGTACTTTCGAGTTAATTTTCTTACTTCCGTATCATACAAAAAGGGGAACATTACTTATTTATTCAAAGCCTTACCCAAATGAATAGAACTTGAGATTATCTTCCATATGTATGTGGAATATACTTGTATTTCATATACATTTTATATAGAGAATATAAAATTAAAGAGTGACCCAAGTCCTTGGAAATCTCAAATGAGAAAAAAACAAAACAGCAGAAAAAAATGGGAAAATAAGCTCATTTAAAGATTTGAGCTCAAAACTGAATATCCAGCTGTGCCCTAGGTGTAGCTCTTTGATACCTTTTTCTAGAAAAAAAAAATTATGACATCATAATCCCCAAGACACAGCCAGATGAATCCATCTTTAATGTGTGATTCATGTTGTTCTAAATTATTTCTTTGATCCAATAATAAGCGCCTGCTATATGCTAGACACTGGGTTAGGTGGGCGCTGGTATGACAATAATAACCCACGTGGTGTCCTTGTCCTTGGGGAGTTTAAGTCAAATGGGGACAAGAGACCACTCAATAATCAATGTCAACAAAAATAAAAGATGCTGTGATAGACGGCAAATCCCCTTATCTGGCTTAGGGTCAAATACTGCTGGGAAAAAAGAGTTTCAAGGAAAATAAATGAACATTTCAAAATGTTTTCAACCAGAAGGAAAATATTTTCTGATCAACACTCACATAACTGGAAATTCCACAAAATGTCTTTGCACATTTTGGCCAGTTATATTTTTGCTCTATTTATAGTCTATAATCATTCATTTAAAAAAAAAGATAGCCTCTATGTTTATAAAAAAGATGGTTTGTCAGTTCTTATACTTTTCGACCATGATTAGAAACAGACACTAAGAAAATAAATTCAAACAAACCTTTTTGTTTCCAGTTTACAGGCACCACCAACCAAGCTTTCTGAAATCAATTGCTTGTTCTTGCTTCCCACCGGACACCTATGGCATTTCTTCCATGCAAAACCCCAAGCAAGTTCATCTGCCAAGAATTCCCCCCCAGGAAGCAAGTGGAAAAGGAGCCATATTTGAAAGAACTCGGTCTAACTTCCCTAAGATGACTCCTTTGGAGAAACAGAACTTTGTAGGGGTGAAATGAACTACTTCCATATTTCCCAGAGGGAATCCTTCCTTGCGACCAATTCAGCTGCCTTCTGTATTATAGCAATCTTTAAATAGCTCCCCTTCTACTTATAGCCCTTCTAAATTCACTATTGTTACTCACTATGAGTTCACTGGCATTAGTCAGGACAAGTCAGTTAGTCACTATATTTTTTAAACCACCAACTCCCCCCGCCCTTTCTGGTTTTCCTATCCCTTCAGTATTTTGCAACATTTAAAAGATGAGTAACTAGACACAAGGAATGCTGCTGGGCATTCTGAGTTCGTTTGTGGTTTAAACAGTGACCATATCCCCATCAATAAAAGGCGTACATGGTCACATTTCTTCTCGTGAAAGGTGACACCTACATTTTAAAACTTAGGATGAAAAATTCAAGGCATATATGTTTGCTTGACCATCATTTCTCATAAACCTATTTAGAAATAGTTCACACAAATTCTTTATTCAGACAACACGGCAGTAAATGGACACCATTCCTTCTTTTGACAAAAAGACCCTTGTCTGCTAAGATTTCTGTTAATCCCAGGAGGGGAGTGGAAAATAATCCAGGAAATTTCGGACTGGGTTCTGGTCTTTTAAAATTATCTGTCAATTAAGGCCTGATGTAATCGCCCCAACTTATCTTTTCAACCTTATCTGCCAGGACTTCCCCAAATCTGCCATCAATTTATGCTGCATTGAGGAAAAACGCATCTCTGCTGTGAGCCATTCAGAGACCTTCAAAGCCCCCGCCCCTTCCTCGCTCCATCCACACCCAACCATTGCAAAGTACATGCTCCCCTAGAACCCTCCGCTAACCACTGCAGCTGCCAGCCACTGCATGCTCTTTGAATTCATGCTACACTTTACTGTCTTAAATCCTTCCTGACCTATTATATACCTACATCCCCTCTTCCTGAGCAGACAGGAGGCTCCTCCTAGACATTCTGTCTTTACAGATGTCTCTTTAACCCACAGCATCTGGCATTTGGACACACACACTAAATTACATGCAAAACCAAATCTCCTCCATTTCCCCTTTTAAAGGCGGGACATCACACATACCCACAGCAAATTCTTGTCCTATCTGAGTAGCTTCTTTTCCATCATTCAAGCAGCTTAGCATAGCCGTGGTGTATGGACAATTAAAACAAACGTTACAAGGAAGGATTCCCCAGTGAATCAGTAATAAACAGAAATCAACATCTGCATCGCCCATTTTCCTAACGAGCATGACAAATGCACCCTCGCATATTAAAATCATCCACCACTTCACAGGGACATTTAATTCTACGTGGACACACCATCATGAACTGCCACGGAATTAGCTATTTGGACTTTATAAAATGGCTATACTGAATCGAGGAACAGTTTTTTTGTTTGTTATGAAATATTGTGACTAGACGTTCTCATTGAATTTCTTAAGAAACGGAAAAGTAGAAAGTGGTTGCCAACATGCAAATGGCAAAAGCTAGAAGTTGCTTTTGCGCTTGCCCTTCACTTCGGAGCATCCTAAAAAAAAAAATCTTCACCAATTAATTGCTTTACTTTTCTCCTCTCTCCTGTGTGTGGAGGGGATGGAAGAGAGGGGGAGGGAAGCAAGAGAAGGGCCAGGATTCATGTTACAGTGAGCATCATCTTTCCAATATGCTCGTCATATGCTATAGTTCCCAACTACTTGCAAAACTTCACTTCTTAAATCATTTATGGAAATTCTGTGGCTAGCCAGCAGTTCAATTCTGTCCAAAAGAAAAAGTTTGGTTTTGTGAAAACCTGACAAAATGACAGAAAAAGACAGCACTTTACACTTAAGATTTGTACATTTCATTGTATGTCAGTTTGATCTCAGAAGGAAAAAAAACATTGAAAAAGAAATACTGAACTTAGAATGCAGAAGCACTGATGGGTGCCTTTTTTTTTAATGCATCAGAAAACAAGATGGGTTAATGGATGACTAGATGAACAACTAGATGGTTAGATATTTGATAAAGCAAGTATCTTAAAAGCAAGTATCTAGTGTTCACTGTAAAATTCTTTCAACTTTGCTACAGACTTGGAGATTTTCATTAAAAATGTGAGGGGACAAAATTCAATGATGTAAACTTATCTCTTGGAAGCCATACACATCCACAAAATGACTTGCTAAAGATCTTTTCAACTATTTCTTTGTACCGCCCAATTGGCATCCACAAGGCAGAAAGCCGTTGGCTTCCCTCTTGCTCTTAACGCAGAGCCCTCACTGCAGGGGCCAGATCTGTCAGGGCCCTCACTTGACTCAAGCCTGAGAATTAGCTGACTGCCCTGCCACTTGGCAGGGCTGGAGTGTGCCCCTCCTCCCCGGCATGCTGCCCCAGGAGGCAAGACAGAACCAGCTGTCCCTGCTGCAGGACCGCCCCACCTGCCCCACATCCTCAGGCTCCATCCCTGAAGTGCCAGAGGGTCTGGTGTCTCCAGGTAGCCACATGCCAGGCACATAAGCGTTTCCCCAGACACCTTAAGTTTCTCTAGAAGCCGCTGGCCACTTCCCTAAGCTTTGCTTCTCCCCTCACCCAGCCAGCAGCAAGCACCCTGCCTAGCTTTCCTTGGAGGAAATCCAAGAAGAAGCAGAGAAAAAGGCAAGTCTCCCCCACAACCCCAGTCCCGAGCCCAGGAAGGACCGGGACATTTTTCGATGATACACAGTGAGGACCACACGCTCTGCGCATAGGTCCCAGCAACTCACAGGGCAAAGAAAAAGAAGGGACTCTCCCATCCTCTGTTGCGCCTCACCCTTATCCAAAACTCAGGACCAGGGAGGGAGGAAAAAAGGCTCATTCTCACAGCTCGTGCTTGCCCAGGACAGGAAACTCCCGACACGACAGCATCCCTGAGGACAAGGACCCCAGCCACAATCCAAACCCAGCCTCCCCATCCGCCTCATCATTTTGCTCAGAGGAAGAACCGGAGCTAAGAAGAAGTGAAAGTCACACTGCGTGATTCAGCCTCCCGAACGACGGGTTCCTCCTAGTCAAAACTTTTGTCCTCTGGTCCTCCGGCAACACTGAGACTTGACCCAGAGCACAGAGGGCATTGTTTTTGTGGTTCGGCTTGGGCCAGAGTTGCTTCGACTCTGAGCTTGGGGCTGAAATCCACAGAGCCGCTCATCTATGAGAAAAGCCCAGAGTCCAGGGCGAAATCCCATTATTAACCCTCATGATCTCATAGGTCACCCCTTCCTGCCCTGCCCCAGTCCCCTTATCTCTTCCCTCTAGACACTGGCGTGAAACACAGACAGCTTGAGGAGAAAATGCCATGGTTTATGACGCCCTCCAGTAGTTCAGAGTGTCCTGCCTCCCAGGCACCCTGTCCCTTAAGGGACAGTCCAAGGGACTGTAATTCCAAGAGGGCTGGGCAGGAGTAGGGGAAACCAAGAGGAAGGGGGAAGTTGGGAACCCAAACCACTTATGCTAGAATTCGAGGTGAGGCAATTCCAGGTTTGGCGAGTATGGAAGTCCAAGTCTGACACTAAATATCACAAAGAAAAATTCGAATTCTTACCACACGTGACTGGGACTTGAGTTCTCGAGATCCTCTGTGGTTAGGTTGCTTTAACTTCCAAGAAGAGCCTGCATCAGAACACTTTACAAAAAAGACACACGACTTCCACAGGTAAGTGGATGAAGAAGATGGGGTGTCTACGTGCGATGAAATATTATTCAGCCCTACAAAAGAAGGAAATCCTGTCATATGCTACAAACATGGATGAACCTTGAGGACATGATGCTATAAACCAGGTGAGCCAGTCACAAAAAGACAAATACTGCATGATTCCATCTATGCAGTCAAACTGTTAGAAACAGAAAGTAGAATGGTGGCGGCTGGGGCTGGGGGGTGGGGTTGGCAGGGAGATGATTGATGTTTAATAGGTACAGACTTTCAGTTTTGCAAGATGAAAAAGTTCTAAAGATCAGTTGCACAACAATGTGACTATAGTTAACACCACAGTACAACATGTTTAAAAAAAGGTTAAAGTGGTCAAATTTATGCCAGGGTTGTTTTTTTTTTTTTTTAACCACCCTTCACTCTATATTTTGGATATATTCTAAATCTCCAACTCCATATTTTGATATTAAAAAAAAACCAGAACAAATATTTAAGTGATTTTTTTTCTGATTGAAAATGAAAACTCTCAAATTAAATTGCTGCGAAGATGCAAGCAGAATGATTAGAAAGCACTTCAAAGCACTGCTTGCGACAAACTTTGTCATTTTCAGCATGCGTGACATTTCCATAGCAGGAAGGAGCCTGACGTTCTTCTTGGATGGCACGCGTGGTATGCTGAATTGGCTTCTAAATCAAATGAGACTGCTGATAAGCAGCCTTTTAGCAAAGAGAAGGATGTATCACAAGACCATCTTAGAGACTGAACACTGTGGCCATTATAACAAAGGCAGTAAAATGAATAATTCATGCATAGACGGAGTGTTCAGGCATTACAGGCAACTGTGACTCCATGAACCAACGTTCCTGCATCATTCTAGCAAACCAGTCTTTACTCTCTTATTACTCGAAACGCTAACTACATCATCCATGTCTCTGAAATAGAAAAGTGACTTAAGGCGACACATTTCTAAGAATAGTAACTCAAGCTGATGAAGCAACAAAAGCAGGGCAAACTTTTATTCACCCGGCCTTCCTTTCTGAAATGGCTACACTCAAAGGAAACTACACATTTTCCAAAGCTCATGATTTCAAGGAATTCCACTCTCTCCCTTTGTCATCCTCTCCTGGCAAGACCTAACACAGCCTTAGATCCAATTTTTTGCCTACACCATGTCTGTGCCCACTACACTGCTGGAGGAAAGACACGCCCACTCCGGCACAAACCTTATTCAGGGCCACCAACCTCAAGTGGGCCCTGAGAGCTGCCTGATAATCATGATGAATTTTGCTGGTCCAATGACTCTCAGATTCTCCCAAATGACTATTTCATCCCCTTTGCTCTCTCTTCAAATCCCCAGTGCCTCCTCACCCACCCTCACGCTCAGCTTCCAATTTCACTTAAATACCGGCACAATTATAACAGACTTTCCACACGCCCTCACCATTACATCTGTCCTCTGATCTACATTTGTGCCTGTATCACTCGGGATGGGCTAGCTAATGCTACAGCAAGAATAACTTCAAACCACCAAGGACACTAGATGTCCACACCGGCCAGCTAGGAGCTCTGCTTGGTGTTATACGTACTCGGGGATATAGGCTGACGTGTGGTCAATTTCTGGACTATTACCATTCACCGTGGCTGAGGGGAAAATGATTTTGAAACTTTTCCTGCTGACAGTTCAGTGCTACAGCCCAGAAATGCCATGTGTTACTAAACATAACTCTTTGGGCCACAACCAACTGCATGACCCCACCAAGCCATAAGGAGCTGGGAAGTACAATGATATAAAATAAAACATAAAATAAAATAAAGTTAAATAAAATAAAACAGTAACAAATTTAGTACGTTTCTAATAAAGTTAAAATGGAAAACAACTAAACAACTAAAGTAAGAAGCAATCGATAAAAATCCTAATTAAAAAAAAAACAAAACAACCCTACTGGTCTGTGGAACTTTTAGGTAATTCTGTTAATTCTGTTCTCAAGACATTCCAGCCACAGCCTGAACCAACATCACAAAGAGGTGCTGTCAGAACAGGAGTTTGGGTCTCTGGAGCTGGCCAATTGGTAGGATTTAAGAGTGATCTTCCATGGGCAGGGCTGCCAAATGATCACCTCACTACAGAGATGTGTTTTCACTTTTGTTTCATCTGTATTTCCCGGCAACCTGACAAGGTTAGTTTCATGGCAAGAAACATACCTCCTCTTTCAAATCCAAATGGACAACTTATTAAGAATCTGAAAGGTGCTAGGAAAAAAAAGTAAAGCTCAGTTAATTTGCCTAAGTAAAGGTCACCTTGAGTGCTATTACACATAAATCAGGTCATTCTCTTTAAGGTATGAGCCCCCATTTCCAAACAAATTACAATACTGTAATACAACAGACTAGACAAATTTACAAATAGGCATTTATACACTTAATCATACCCAGTGTAATTATATTTAATTAAGTCACAACTTGAAATTCAACCATCCTTGTTCTACATTTCCTTGTATGAAAAATGCAGTCGTTAGACCAGATCATTTTTAAATAACGTCCCAGATTATTTGGAGGCGCATGAGCCACATAATGAAAAGCAATGGCTTACACAGTCACGAGGCTGTTCTAACGGGCTACGATTGGAAAATAACTTAAAGAGAGGCAGGACAGAGGAAGCCAACCCTGACCAGAACAGAGATTAAACTAGGGCTATAACAAGTTGGTCCTCCAAGATCAGCATTAATATATGTATTACTTCTGAGTATAAAGAATGCATATAAAACATAAGGAATAAAGACTGAAAGGCAAATCCATCCCAAAAACTCTAGCAACTTTGACTTTCAGTGATGAGAGATCAAATAATTGGGGCCAACACTCCCACTGAAGGTAACTAAAGAAGTTGAGCAAAGGAGAAGAAAACATCTTAAAAGGTATCAAAGAGCTATCAAGATGGTGAGGAACAACTGAATACCAAGTCTGGAAGTGGATGGAAGCGTATGTACAGGGCTATTTTTGCCTGGGGTATGTTTGCTGATACTCTAGGAACAAGAGTGGATGAAGGTTACTTCTGATGGCTCTGGGGGAGGAAAAAACGGAAGGTGGGACCCACCAAGAGTAAGTCACTTCATTTCGGGATGAAAAAATAAAGTGAACAGAAAGTAACCAGCCCTCATGTGGACTTACAGCCAAGCTTCAATTCGTTGGGGTGGCTCAGATAACCTAGACTATGACGATTCCAGAGAGCTACCTTCAGGCATCTGACAAAAAAAAAAAAAAGAAGAAACATTCTCTAGAGGCATAAAACTTCCAACTTTTCAACCATAATATCTGGACACAACCAAAGATAATCACTTATGCAAGAAGAAAAGAAACCGTGAGCAAGAAAAAGCTCAACAGAGCTCAACAAGACACTGCTGGGGTGGGGGAGGACCCAAGACTCCAAATATTAGAATTGTCAGAACTGGAGTATAAAAAACTACACTTACATATATTCAAGAACGAAAAGCCAGACTCAAAAACTTTCAGTAGGAAACTGGAAACTTTTTTTTTAATGATATAGATTTGAAAAAAGAAGAAAATATCCATTGTAGACCCAAAAATACAATTTTTGCAAAATTAGAAACTCAATGGATGAAGAAAGAATTAGTGAAATGAAAGATAAGTCAGGGGGAAAAAGGTATTCAGAATGAACTACAGAGAGGCACTAGGATGAACAAAAAGACAGGGATGAGCAATATGGGAGCAAGTCTCAAAGACAGGGACATACAATGAACCATGCTTCCCAGTACTCATGAACTTGTATAATCCCCTCCCACGTTAAATCTAGGTTAGCTCTAACTAAAGCTTCGGTTAACTTTAACTAAAGGAACAGAGCGAAAGTGATAACTAGTAAGCCAGAAAAAGAAAGAAAAATACCATATGATATCATCCATATGTGGAATAAAAAAAAAGACACAAATGAACTTATTTACAAAACAGAAACAGACTCACAGACATAGAAAACAAACTTATGGTTGGTTACCAGGGGGTAAGGGGGCGAGAAGGGGTAAATTGGGAGTTCGCGATTTGCAGATACTAACTACTATATATAAAATAGATAAACAACAAGGTCCTACTGTACAGCGCAGGGAACTCTGTTCAATATCTTGTAGTAAACTATAATGGAAAAGAATATGAAAATGAATATATGTGTGTATATGTATGACTGAAACATTATGCTGTACACCAGAAATTGACACAACGTTGTAAACTGACTATACTAAAATTTTAAAAAAAGATTCTATATAACAACAAAAAAAAGTGATAACTATGCCAGTTCTGGGTTTGTGTCTTAAGAGAGCCTGGCAGCTTCCACTTTCCAAGAAGCCCTCTTTGGGGAGCCCTGAGTCACCATGTAAGAAACCCAGCTGCCCTGCTGCAGAGACCACGTGGAGAGGCCATGATGAGAGGCCAGAGGAAGACAGAATCCTGAGACTAAGATGTCCTGTCATCCCCGTTGACACCAACATCCAGATGTCCCCATCAAGCGCACCAGACATGTAAGTGAAGGCATCTTCAGTGTTTGTCCCAGCTGTCTTCTAACTGCAGCCTCGTGACAGATCCTCAGCAAGACCAACAGAAGAATCACCCAGCTGAGCCCTAGTCTACCCACAGAACCATGAGAAAGAATGGAATGGTTGCTGCTTTAAGCCACTATTTTTTTTTTTTGGAGAATATTTAACACGTATTTCATCAGATAGGGAGGAATGAAAAAAATGGGCTAGAAACAATGTAGAAAGACAATGGCTGAGAATTTTCCAAAATTCACTAAGGGTATCATTCTCAGATTCCAGAAATCCTAATAAACGCCCCAAAGATAAATGAAATCTATGTTTTAGCACATCATAGTAAAAATGCAGAAGACTAAAGATGCAGAAAAAAATTTTTAAAGTAGCCAGAGGGAAATAAAAGCAAATTACATTCAAAGGAGCAACAATTAAGACTGACAGCTGACTACCCCTCACCAAAAAAATCACTGAAGTCAGAAGACAGTGAAGTGGTATCTCCAAAGTGCTAAAAGAAACAATATGAATAGAA